CGACTGCGCCTCGCTGCAATTTTCTGGAATCCTGCCGCCGCGTAATCGTTTCTCAAAAGCGAATCGCTCGTTTCGCTCCGAGGTGCAATTCTATGTCGTAATTCCCATCCGTTCGCCACGCGCGGCTTTAAATCGATAAAGAGAGCTTTCGAAATCAGGAAAATCGGCCGTTCTGCGTGTCCTTCAAGATACCGCGCATAAATGATTATATCAGGTGTATCGCAATTTTTTCGTTTTCATTTCCGATTATCCACGCTGGAGCTGTTGCGAAGTTTCGGCGACGATTCTCGTTTAATTATTCCTACATTGGTCGCTCCTTGGGAATCTTAGAAAATCAAACGCATACGTGTATTTAAATACAGTTCTTGACTATCTCGATATTTCTTGCAAGTTTCTTTCCTTTCTTACCTTTTTATACTTTGCACTTTTATGCTCCACAACTGCATCGGCTATCTATTTATATCAGCCGAAGCGCGAGCACTGCGAAGAAAGCTGCTCGCTAATCCAGATTTAACGATCGCGGATTCAGAACTCGTTACGTGCGCATTGAGTTTTACGTTGAATATCGCAGCTACTCCCCGTGATCTTCGCCGATATACGATGATTATGATTTACGAGCTATAATTTCGTGTAAACACGACGAGGTCGGGGAACTACGCGCGCTCGGTCAGGCGCTTTCTTAATTAGCATCGATTTGCTTGTGTTAACAGATACTAACGGCATTAAGTAACTCTTACCTCTCTTGCTGGATACAGCGGCGGCGCTGTGTCGCCAGATCCCGCGCGCGCCGTTCCGCCTCGACCGGTAAACTTTACACCGGCTCGCGAATTAAGCGGACGTCATCTCACGAATTCGTATGACCCGTTAAAACCCCGTGAAAGTGGATATAAATTAGCTTTATACCGGTGGACGCTTTCGAAATTTTTCTGGCGCCCAGCTGCATCGGTGGCGCCTTGTGCGCGCTTCCCCCGCGAAAATCGTAAACCCGCTAACGAAGTGTAACGCGTGAAAGTGCGCGCACACGTGGCGCAAATGAAATATTTCCGAGATAAAAATTCACGCGTTCCTCGAAAAAGGTTTGATTATGATCGGCCGATACTTTCCTCGCGTTACCTCGGACTTACGCTAGAAACTTTAATTGCCAGTGAACCGCCGCAGCGTGAACCCAAGATCCACGGATTTCCGCGAAACGCGAAAATTTCAAGCTTCGTGTTGCGTATATCGTTTTAAGAAACGGGAAGGAGAGAATGTTATTTAATAACAAACCGGATCCGACCAATCTTGTTTATTCGAGGATTAATACTAGTTAATATTAGAGGAACTTTCTGTTACTCATACAAATTTCGAGCCACATTTATCGTATATGCGAAACAATTCATGCTAATAAATAGTAAACTATAAATGATAAATAGTAAATAATAAACAGATAGATCTATTAGGAGATGCCACACGAAGAACTCGACCGTTATGACCATTCGAAGGACTACTCTTAGCAAACCGAGAATCTTTTTAATTAAACGATACACTAGCGCGCGTAAGTTCGCTTCCTAATTTCCATCTACTTTTGGATACTGTTTTACACGGTATGTCGAGCAAGGATCTTTCAACGTCCGTCCGGACGTATCTGGTCCTAGCTGCCAATAATGTATCGCGATACCGGAATGACTCACTCGATGAGTTATCGCCCGTGACTTTCAGTAGCCGCTTGCAAATTCTCCAGCTCATTGTGCGCGATGCCATGCGACCGTACAACGATATCAAGGTCGTGTAACAAACGAGGCAAATCGATTGCAAATCGACTGGATCGATTGCTCTCAGGAACGATTTTAATTCGAACGTTCCGCGCGAGTGTTTTTCAAACGTGTCGTACGCAACAAGATATATTCTTCGTTTAAAAGTCCAACACACCGACAAAACATTTAATCGTTTTCCATTTCGTATGTACGTTTTTTTATTATCTTATGGAAGATCTTATGGAAGATTTTAATTAATTGTTCGAAATTCGTCCCGTAATATCCTACTATTTCATTAAAATAGACTTCCAATTTATAAAATACATGTCCGAGAGATCAGGATAACATGAGATGCAATCCTCGAGAAGCGATACTTGTTAACAGAGAAATGACAACAATTAACATATATATTAAGTATATATCTCTCAGCGCGCATATTCAGAGGAAAAAATAGTAACATAAGTGACAAGTATATAAGTTTTGCACGCAGAATTAATATATACAGTTTAATAAACCATTTTATAGCTATTCCAGCTAAATTTGAATGGTTACAATAACTAGTTTACATTACGCTATACCAGCCAAATTTAGTTGCAACAACTATTAAATAATTTCTTAAACTGCATGCGTTAATGCTACAAAACTCGTACGCTTTACAGTTACCACGATGATACGCTTTTTCCCAAGTGCGTATATATGTGCGCTATAACAAGCTATGAGCATATACGCGAGCGTACGTCGCAAAAGAAACAAGCAGAGCGATAATTCCGCCGTAGATGAAGAATGTTAACGCTATGTGGTTAAGACATATAAATCACACAAAACACTACTATCGAGCGCACGGCTGACTGTGTGACTTTTTACCGTAAGGGTGTGTACCCGATCCAACTATCGTACGGCTGCTGAATAAAAGAGGCCTGGCGTGCCGTCATTAGTAATCCGCGTGTTTCCACTGCCGCTTCTTCTTTCATCCCGCAGACGATTTCTTCGACCGACGTCGTTGCTCGTCAGAGCGACGCCGCGAGTCATTTCGATAGCTGTTTGCGGCCGAGGCGCCGCATTTTTTTCGTATCTCGGCTCGGCTAATCTTTACACGTTCGTGCGACCCTTTTCTGCTCTTGCGATAAAAAGACATCTCGGAGAGAAATTACGATGTTCCCGTTACTTGATCGGATACCAATTGAACTGGTAGTTAGGACGCCGCGGTCGTCGTGACTTTTCAAGTGGTTTTTATTTCCGACTACGATCGTTAAAGTCACTCCCGACGGAGTTCGCGATTTACCAGCTCGATCGAAGAACGTTCTGCTGCGTTCGCGCGGGGAACGCGCAGGATAAAAGACTTCGATCGCCACGCGGCAAAAAACTTTTATATAATTGATGAAGTTTATCTGTTGACGTGAAAATGAAAAAAAAAGAGGCGAGAGAACAGGCGACTCACAGTATCGCAGTAGCGTAGCAAGAAATCTATTCAACGTCGCTTGGCACACTTCCGGATGATGCGCGGCAGTGTTCGCTAATCACAAAAGTGCGCATACGAATAATCCATTCCAAACGCTTTCACTGGAAAGATGTCGGCTCGCGGCTCACGAAAGATCTCTCGTTGAGATTCGGCGCGAACGAAACCGGACATCTGCATAATATCGTATAATTGCGGTTTAGGTGACTCCATCGCGATACCTCCGCTATGTTTTAAACATAAATTTGCTCGTGAAACACGTTATGTTGTTAACGTTTTTTCTTATCTGGCATCGACGAAGGCGACCCGCCGTTGGTTAATCAAACGCTCATCTTCCGCTTCGATTCTTCCTGGCCGCGATCGTACCGGCGCCGCGTGTTCAATATTTATGACAGGCTCGGTACAGGTGACTAGTAGCAATGATTACACAATCGTTATTTCACCGGGTAATAAACAATAGGTAACTTTTCGTGCAATTCCGATTAATTGCCCGCGACGAGGCGGACTTTCGTCTGCGAATGCGCCGGGTATCTTCCGTAACATGGTTACGCTTTTCATTTTAGCCTGTCGTTGGTCGATTCGACATAAATTCTTGTCCGCGAAGCGCATAAGCATTTACATTTGAAGATGATGTACGTCTTCTTCAAGTGGAAACGTCGACAAGCAATAACCGATAGAAATTCGATATTCGACATTCGTTACGATCGCGGTATTTTCGTCCGATAAACTTACTCCATCGCGGAGAAGAATAATTTGTTGATACAGCAAATTTTATGCTGTCGCAGCAAACTTTGTCAGTCGCTTTGAAGACACACTGAGAACAAAATATTTAAAAATTTCTTTCTGGAATATAAGGTTTATTTCTGTGAAATAAACCTTATTTTTGTGAAATAAACCTTATACTTCCCCCATAAGTAAATTTTTAAATATTTTCTCTCAGTGCAGCAAAGCGATTCGTTAAGAGCATTAATTTTGTTGCACTAATTGCCTATCGTGGAGTTATTTTGCTGAATCTACAAATTACTTTACTGTACGAACAAATTAGTAAATGTAAAAAAAACACGATTTTTGTCCTAATAACAAATTAACATGATTTAAGAACAAATCCACTCGATAGAATATTTTCTATTCCGGCAACAAAACCGTTTCTCCGCTCTAATTATGAACAGTCAGCTAATTTATTCGTGCGAAAATGACGCATGATTAAACAATGCAGATAGATACAAAACGTAATGTTTAAAACTAAAAAAATTTGGCTCACGTAAAGCACGGCTAATGAAGAAATAAACGGGATCTGTTCGAACGGCCTTTTCACTTCGGCTACGAGGAAACTATTATGCGAACGACGAGTATACATCGCGCGTCGTGTTTTGCGCGCTCAGAACTTCGTTCCGTCTCGCGTACGAGTCCAACGGCTCAGCTGAGAAGAACGTTTACGACGCGTGCGTCAGAGCTTGCACGCCGCGAAGAAAGTCGGTGAGAGACGCTGATAATTTGATAATCCGTTGCCGATTAACGAACCATGCTGATGGATTTGCTAATTAACGCGGAATCGCCGAGCATTGCAAGCGCGGACTCGCTGACTTACTGTCCTGCGATATCGATCGCGATTTACGATATCCAGGCGCGCGTATCCCGTCGAGAAAATTTTTCTCAGAGCGGGGAAAGTTCTCGCAATTAAATACACAGTTCGCCGCTAGGACGCCCGGAAGTGTTTCCCATTTTGTTTTTTCTCCTTTATCATCGATCAAGTAGCGCGGACAACGAAACGTTTTAACTTACGTCGCCGATCGACAATTCGTTTGTCTCAGGTCTGATGATGGAGTCGGAGAAGAAGATTTTCGAGATGATGAACAAAAAAGCGGCCATGTCTAAGTATTGGATGCCGCTCGTTTGGGCGACCAACATCATCAACAGGGCGAGGAAGGAGGCCCTGATCACCAGTGATCAGGTGGTGCAAACTCTCCTCGTCGAGCTCAGCGATATCCGGAAGAGGCTTGGCGCATTGATTGGTTACGATACCGTTTGCGTTCCTCTAGTCTACACTCAGGTGAGCATGTTTGTTACGCGCAGCGCGAAACCGAGTGGCGAGTTTGCGGGGATTGGATGCGTTAGCGATTCGTGCAGATTCGTCCGCGTTCTCTCTCTCTCTCCCCCTCTCCAAGCCTCGCGAAATACGTTAAAGCCGCCTCATAAATATGTATCGATGGCAGGTGCCAATAAATTTACCAACGAGTGTTGGCTGCTTGATCAATTGGATTCGATTGATTGATAAAATGCATTGAATTGGTAAACAGGGGAAATAAATCTGCGAGATAGCGATTCGTAGATGTTGCGCAATAACTTCGCGACGATCTCACGAATAACAAAAGTGAAATAATTGGTTTTATTGATGGTACTTTTTCACACACCGCATGCGAACAAAGGACAAGAGACAGAGAGAGAGAGAGAGAAAGAGAGAGAAAATGTTATTTAAACAATCTCTTCCGTTTGTCTCATTGTAGATATTGTAGAAAGAGCAATTATACGTCGATAGCGCCACTTGTCATTGGCAGATATCGAATATGTTACGTGAACGTCTTCATCGTCCCCCGGTGGATGCGTCATTATCATGCCTTGAGCGTTAGAAGCATGACGCATTATTATATAATTCTTCGTCAATTGCATCCAATGCATTATTTACTTTTTACCCGCAATTTGTAACATCGAATCGCGCTGCAGATAAATAAATAGAAAGGCTCATCAGCATCCGTATAAAACGCGCATCAACGACAAATTATTTCTAACGTTACTTGAAACGATGTCCGGTCTTCTTTCAAATCAGTCGACTTAGTATCTTATTGTCGTTCTAGCTTATTAAAAATACTAATTGCGTCCATAAACTATTTCACTGGTAATACAGAGGTTTGATCGCTGTAATTATTCATCGCGTATGACGTGAAAGTCACAGTAATTATCGTGTTACTGCTGCCGTTACATTAACACACGTTAACGTTGTCGACCGGTTAAAATTACGTGGAAGTGTGTCTCTTTAGCAATTTTCTAAATCCGCGCGTCGATGGCGTCACACGTCGAATAATCAGTCCATTTGTCACCTACGTGACAATGTCACTTATATCTTTTTCTTCGTCACGCGTGATTATGCTTTCAAACGTTTCTGCATATTCGCTCGAAGGATTCAAAATCACATGTCTAGGCCGCGTCGAAACTAAACTGGATTCATTCCCGGAAAAACGTGTTTTGCATCTCTAATTAGCTAACATGCGTTGTGCAATTGTAATTGTCCATCAACTAACTCCTCTAACCATCGGCTGCGAATGCCATTATTTTCGAGAAATGAAAGACCGCGCCGTTTCGCAAATCCGAGCGAACGTGACGCGACACGAAGCCGCTCTCGATCTCCGTTACGGCACGTTTCGTGTTTTACTATCACAGAGACTGTAAAACATTTCTCTTGTGATTTATCGTTGTGGAAAATTCATTTCACTAAATCATCTCAATACAAAGATATTAGCCTGCTGCTAATACATTAATTTTATCGCTTTCCTACAAGTCGAGAAATTACCAGGCGGTATATCTCATGATTTTACCATAATTTCGCTGTATAATTATTACAAGATGTACGACATATTTATGATACATATTAATTATACTGTTGTATAATTATTACAAGATGTACGACATATTTATGATACTCTGGATGCTCTATCGGATAATGATAATAATCAATACTTAATATTTAAAACAGAGCATCAAGAGAGGGGGGTGTCATAAAATTTGATCGATATCACTACATAATAATTATACCCCTCGCACAAGTTGTCCTTGCTTTGGGAGAACCGACAAAGCAACGATGTGTTGAACGTATTTTTTTTCTTACGTATAAATCGTAATATAAATTTCTCTTACGATGATAGCGTGATTCGACATACTCCGTGAAATCGCAAGATTACGCATAACGACCGCGGAGTATTCACCGCGTAATGATACATCAGTCGAAGATTAATACCCGTTTTGGATACGTACTCGCTGTTATTGCGCATGCCTGCATTTACACTGTAAATGTTTTTGCTCACTCGCCTCGACTGAAAATTTTAAAACGCTGCATTATTCCACGATGTCGCGTATTGTAATAATGATCGATATATCTTATCCGAATCTGCGTTTTAACGTTTTGCAATTTGTAATATTTTTTTCTCCCTAGTAACTGCAATTTTAGTATAAAATCAGTGTACAAATGAAAGTATTTAAAAGAAAGAAAGTAAAAATTCGAACCATTATTAATACATATATTTTATTTCTCTCTCTCTCTCTCTCTTTTTCTTAACCGTGTTCAACGACATATTTATATCAACACACACGTGCTGTAATGAATTAATTGAAAAAATATCCATCGGACGTTTTTGAAGTTTTTATCGACGAATGCGCGGATGCGCGGATAATGAATCGCGCAAGAAACACGGAGCCGATGTGCGTTGCATGGTCAAGGTCGACAAGAGAGTCGAACAGTAATTTTATCGCGATACGTCACGCCTTCGGGAGTGATTTCGTGCTACATCTGAGAAGTATCTCGCATTTTGGGTGAATCCGAAGAGTGCGTTCCAGGCTTTACGAACGGATTTATCCATTGGCTCTTTATGCAAGTCGCGCTATATTTTTTGCATAAACGTACCGCTTCCTGATAACCTTCGGTGAGAAAGGCGGTACTCGCGACGACCTTGATATTCGTTCATTCATTAAACCTGTTTACCTGTACTTACGCGACGGAAAGAGAAGCAGCGGAAATATCTTTGCGAAGCTCGGGACTTCCGGTAGTAGTTAATTGTTGTCTGTCACGACCACGCTTCCGTTCGCCGGAGCGACGGAGCTTTAAAACGGATTACAACCGAGCTAATTGTTCCCGTTATGTAACACGGAATTGACGAGATCTTTTCTCCAAAAAGCGACAGTTTCGTCCGCGCGAAAGAGAAAAATTCCGCTCTCTAATTGCTGCGTTTCTTCCTCCCTCTGCTTTTTTTAAATAGCGGTGATGTAACGAGAACTTGTCATGAAGCTCCCGACATGTATTTCAGGTGGTAACACTATCGTTGTATGCCTACTTTTTCTCGGCTCTGCTTGGCAGACAATTCGTCGAACATTCCGGAGGTACCGGAAAATACGAGGAGCCGGACATGTATTTTCCGTTTTTTACGACTCTACAGGTGATTAGAATAAACGATATTATCTACAAACACAGACATTGGCAGTTCTCCCGCGTAAAGTCGAAAACTGTTATCCTTTGTGTTTTTGCAGTTTTGCTTTTACGTTGGATGGCTGAAAGTTGCCGAGGTGTTGATTAATCCATTCGGCGAGGACGACGACGATATCGAGTTGAATTGGCTGATAGATAGACACATTAAGGTATGTCGTGCAATTATAATTCATAACTTTATGGCCACGTGTTTAATATTCTGTCACGTCGTTATTTATGAATTTTCTCGGAAGGTATAATGTATTGTGCGGAATATAGTAGCGTAACTCGAATTTAAAATGTTTCTATATGCAAATTAATTAAAATGTTTCTATATGCAATTTCTATATGCAAATTAATTTTTTTGCATGCACATATACACTTCGACTTTTTCATCTATCTATATGCTAATGTATTTTTTCTTATCTTGTGTCGCGTGTATCGTATGATAGGCGGGTTACATGATCGTCGACGAGATGCATGAAGAACATCCAGAATTGCTCAAAGATCAGTATTGGGACGAAGTCGTGCCCAAAGACTTACCGTACACCGTCGCTAGCGAGCAGTATCGTAAGGAAGAGCCGAAGGGCTCCGCGGAACATTACAAGGTGAAAGATAGCGACGCTCTTTACGCGAACGTAATGTTGGGCACGCAGATTCACAGTCACGTGCAGCACCGTAAAGCTCATCAGGATGACATGTATGCCGACTACGTGAGTATATGTCGATTGCTTATATAATCCTTTCTCATTTCTCATTCCTCTTTCATCCTTAAAATAAGCAGAATATGCTCCTAAAGTTTAGCCATATATCCATGAAACATCCCGTTTATTATTATTATTATTATTATATCTGTTGAATGTTACTATATACGCGTGATGTTGAAATAATTCTCCAATTTTACAGCGATTTTCGTTAACAATAAACTATGACCAGCGCTTTTAATCGTAATCATAAAAATTTACCTCTATGGAGTTTGAACGATAATTTGGAGTCAAATCTTTTCCGGCGACTCGTAATTTTCTAAATGATCACGCTTTCGCGACAATAACGACTATGAATATTTCATGCGTTTTAGGAAAGCGTCGACACTCCGTTGGTCGAGCGGAAAAAGAACGGCTGGTTTCAACGACAGATCACCCGGGTGGGCTCGGTACGCAGCTCTTCGACCACGTACAGCAGCGGTGGTGGTTTCTTCACGCGAAACCGCCACAATAGCGTGTACAGCAGCCCCGAGACCGGTCTCCCACAAACGAACAATCCAAACTTCAAAATGTCGCTCTACGATCGTCTCGTGGGACGCAAGAGCGTGCGCAGTCAGCGTATGGGTCGTCAAGGTGTGTATACACCCGTCTTCGTTGAAAAGGCATTTTCAGAAGTTTGCCGAGGTGACGCGAAGAAAGAGGAGCCCGGTAAAAAGTAAATTAGCGTTACATGGAAAACTGTCGCACACCAGGCTTGTTTGCTTTTATCTTAATGACTACACGTCAGCATTAACGATCACATTTGCTTATGCGCTTCGATAATATTTACAACCGAGTCGTTACGTAACGCAAACGTTCAAGTTATATTTGCTCTCGCATCTTGAACTTTTATCCCTGTGCCGCTCGTGCAAATTAGTTTGTTTACAAAAAAGTTTTTGCCCGACGATGGATATTTAAATAGCGTTGTGAATCGCGTTTCAACGTGCTACGGGGCCGTGCGATGCCGCTTCAAATTTACCTACGCGAGATTCAAATGATCTTATGAAACAGTTATTTTCAATCCCGCAGCTAGATATACGTGGGGATAAGAGCACAACTGTTTTGATTCTTCGGATTTAATACGAGTCATTCATTTCATTAACATGTTTCTTGCGTAGAGCGGGCGATACCAGACGAGGAATTGATTAGCCGTGAGTCATAGGCTGTGTATCGTCGAAAGAAAGTCTCGTAGAGAATCACGAGCTTTTCCTTCATCATGTTCACGTATGTGAAAGATTGCGCAACGCGCTGACCTTGCGTGACCTCAGCGATTTCCGCGATTATCTCGCCGCGTTTGACGACGAGAAAAGTCTCTCCACGGAGTAGTCCTTGTGCTTCTTTTTACCTTTTCTCCCGTCGCACGCCATCTACGACGGGGAAAGACAAACGCGTATGAAACGTATCGCATCCGCGTAATTATATCCTCGTCAGCTCGCAGCTCGAAAGATGTGTCCCCTGTGCGACGGTCTGAAAGCCATTTCCGCGCGCTGTGACGAACGGGGAAACGGTTAGGATCGTTAGTCTAATCGACAACGTCATTACCTATTTTCTACGCGCGACCTCGGGGGGATCGCGTACCGAATCCGGAAATCCAGCCGGTGCGCCGAGGCGTCACTCTAACGGCCGCTTCTAATTGCAGGCACCATGACGAAGCTGAACTCGGTGCCGGTGTCGCTGAAGAACAGGCCGCGCATACCGACTCCGGACGTGACGAAGGAGGTGGTCGACCGTGAGCAGCGGTTGGCATTGTCGGCGACGAACGCGGCGAACATCGGCGCGGGCGTGGTGGGCGTGATACCAACGAACGGTCACTATCCGACCGACCTGTCGGTGGTAGTCCTGTCGCCTATACAAGAAACCGAAGGCACACCCGCGTCCGGCAAGTCCGGCGCGGCGGCCCTCGCGCAAGCCGTGCTCTCGCCGACACTGACCAGCGCTGGCCTGATGACGCCGGTGACTTTAACGCCGGTCGCCATGGGCCACCTCACGCAGCTGGGTCTCATGAAGACGACTTCGACGACGGCCACGCACATCAATAATTCGGGCAACATCGTGCAGGCGACGTTGACCGAGGTCAACAGTAGCGAAGAGGAGGGTAGCGGAAGTGGCAGCAGCAGGAGCGGCAGTATCACCGGGCAAGAGGACCGTTCGACGCCGTTGATCGACAACACCAACAGCCCGACCGGAAGCAACGGTAGCTCGCCCACCTTCGGCGGTTACAACGATCGCTCGCCGATCCTCATGAGACCGGAGAAACTCGGCTACATGGTCACCGCCGGCGTGCCCGCGCCGAGCAGCGGCACAGCCGCGGACGCGCGAGGTAGACGATCGGCATCCTTGCCCGGGCCGCCGGTCCTGCAGCCGCGGGACGACCGGAGTATATCGTTGCCGCAATCGCCGGGATTGCAGCCGCGAGAAACTCGAACGGCCTCCGTGTCGAGTAAGCAGAACGGGCTGGTTGACGTGGACAAGCTGGCCGGCGGTCACTCGGCGGGCATCCGACCACGGACCAGTAGCTTCGGTCACGACTTGTCCAGGCCCACTCAGAGGGCACAGGACGCCTCGAGGAAAATCAGCAGCGTCTCGTGCACGAACGCGTCGCTCTCGAGCGGCTTCGGCTCGGCGTCTTCGACGTCGTCCGCGAGCGTGTCCGCAACGACCACCGTCGCGGGCAGCAAGAGGGGCGAGGTTTACGTTTGATAAAGGAAAATCGACACGCGACACGGACGGTTGAGCCGTCCCGATGATTAGGAGGTACATTTAGAAGGGTAATTTAGACGGCGCAATTCCGTCCGCGTTTCCTGAGATTCATCTCCGTCCGTTATTGTGATGTCTCGTGTAAATGCACGTGACGGTTCGCGGTATATTTTTGTAATTTCTCGCTCGTATTCGGGGGAGTAACATGATTATCCTCGAGGTAGATGCGGAAGGTAACGCGAATGTTCTTGAGAAACGCGAGAAGGATAATCCGTGCTACTCCGCTTAGCGCGTTTCTGATAATTTTACGAAACCTTTGGAATGTCCTGCGAATTTGAAACGAATGAAGGCTTGACAGGATGTTCCAAACGATTCGCTACTGAAAAGTTGCAGTGGCGTCGTGCCACGGTTTAAATATTTTGTCGTAATAACGATCAACGAAGGGACAGAATTTGTAGATCGCACGATTGTAAATAGTAATTTATGTGTTAAAGACTCTATATGACTCGTAACGATCAATCCGATGTAGGAACATATATTTAAAATGCGTATGTATTATATAATCGTTAACATTACTCGGCACGAGTGTAAGATGGTTGGGAATCTTGAAATAGTTGCATGAGAAGATAATTGGATCTTCCCGACGAAGATCACGCGGATCGCATAGCTGATCGCCGACCGATTATCGACTTACACTCGCGACGAAGGAAAAAGCTATAAGTGTAATAATAGTACGAAACAAAGTGCTTTAACAACTTAACGGGAAATCTTGGAAATGTACTTTTTGTATCGTCGTGCAATAAAATACAATACTGTAAGGATGCGTCGATTATAATGTTACAGCGCACACTAGTTGCTACACTAGTTTGTTATTAGTAACTCTTACCCGTAATGTATCGCAATCTCATTGTAAATTTATTCCTTCGCGTCATGATATTGTGATATCGTTTTCTACGGATATCTGTATGACGTTTTATGTAGATGTATCTATATAGCGCTACGTGGATCAATGATGCCGAGAGAAATCAAATCCGTTAGCTATATAATATAATTCACGTACTTTTGTACATAGTTTTACTTTCCTTTTCGACTTGCCGTTCTCCCTCCCCTCTGTCGTCTCGCTAGAAATTTTTCATACGTTTGTTTGCCATATGTTCGATCGGTGCGACACATCGATAACCTCGTACACGCATACATACTTCTTCATTTTGCCATTTTTACAGACGCATCGCGAAAAGTGATGTAAGAGGCAGTTCATGAGAGTTTAAGCGATCAGCATTTCCGATGTTTCCTCGCATGTACATTCCGACTGTTTTAATCTTATTCGATATATCTCGGGTTAGCTGAATTGATTAGCGAAACGCGAACGATATTGGAATACGCGTCGATGACCGCGGAAATATTTATCTGAGAAATCGTAGAACATATATCGGCATTAGTTTCTATTATATTCTCGATGGACGGAAAATAATTTGAGACAAAGCGCTTCTTGTATGCGCATCTCGGTGACGTTTGACGTGCAATCACGTCGTGGCTCAAGTTGTTTGTAATGACAAAGAGAGCTTCTTGTTATTACGAGTATATTAGTGCGATNATATATATATATATATATATATATATATATATATATATGTATGTATATGTATATGTATATATATGTATGTATATGTATATATATATATATATATATAACTTACAATTACTAAGCTCATATTCTTATCGAGTTAATTAATATGCTCAATGCCAATGCGCGCGTAAACATAAGCCATAAGTGACAAAGTGCTGTATGTATCGCAAACTATTGTATTATGCATGTTATCGAAAGTACTATATCATGTCATCGTATACATGTGGGTACATGTAGACATTTATTAATATTACGACAGTTACATGACAGGGACAATAATAATTCTAACAACTCGCGATTTCTTTTGCAAGGAGTTAATTATATATGAGTAAGCAAGAGTAAGATTTCGGGGATTGACGGGTCAACCAAAAATATAATGATCTTGTTTTATAACCGTAAACTAGCGAAACGGGTGTAACTTCGTTATGAAAAAATAGAATTAAATTTAATATTATTAAACATTGATATAATTATTAGATGTCGATACAAGTATAAACAGATATATGTATTTCTTTAACACGTTCGGCCTATGGTTACGATCGAAAGAACAAAATTTGCATTTTCTGTCTAATTTAACAGTTAAATCATTGTTCCAGCGATTGGTTCGGGGAGATTAGATTGATCATACAAACGCACATAGATGAAGATAATGTTTCATGGTGTGTATACTGTGTTGTGCTTCCATTAGAACGATTATCACGATGCATATGAGACGGTATTATAACCAAGCATAACTGTAGTTATATGATAGCCGATTTTTGTGTATATACGCATATATCGGTCTGTGATGAACAGAAGAAAAAATAGGAAATATTGCGTGCCTATATATAAATATCGAGATACTTATTTATATCATCGTTATATGATACGCCTTAATTGGCAATTAACCGAGAGCCTAAAAAGCGATATTATACATATATATAATTTTCATGTAATGACTGTTTTAACTCTTTACACCCGCCAATGTGAGATGTAAGGAGGACAAATCCAATTTTGTAGATACTTAATTTACAATATTTGTATATAAATACATTCCTTGTTATCTCCCGTAATCGCCTAATTATTATTAATATTATTAATATTATTATTCTTATAGTTATATGAACAATCAGAGATATATAAGCGACTTTTCTAAGTTTCTCGGTGTCCAGTCACACACATATCTAGCTATATCAAATATGTTTTCATTTCTTTCTTATCCCTTATTATCCATTATCTATGTTGGAATAAATATCTTGGAAAATATTAATAAGTTCAATTGTTTATAATCCCTTATATATATTCCAAGTCAAAATTTCGTAAAAATGTAAAATTTTCGTGGTTCCGTAAAAATTTCATTATTTGCTTTTAACATGTTACTTAGATATTGACACTACTATTCTTTTTAATATTATATTCGTGAAAAATGTTGAATATTAAAACAAACTTGAAATAAGTCTAAATATATTCAATGAAATGTTTTAAATTATCTTTAAATATCGCTGATTGATGTTATCTACAATAGGTACAGCTATCTATTAGATCCTCAAGGTATTAAGCTTAATTGAATCTACGATAGGTCGAGCATAATGTAACATTTTAATATATTACAGACATATATAGTCTGAAAGCAATTTTTATTACAATAAAGTGCACGATATTACACAATGTAATAAAATATGAAAACAATTTTTATATCAGTCAAGAATTACCTATGAATAATCAAACATTTAGAGAGAAATTTTCGTGCTTCACAACCTTTTCCTACAATGTATTCTGGCAAAAAATTAAAAAATTAATTAATTAATTTACACAATTAATATGAAAAATTTACGCAAAGTACTAATTACGTAAACCGTTATACGACGCTTTTATCGACTCGCATTGATCGCGACATTACACCCTAAAATCCTCCTCCGGTTGAAAGAATTACCGCATTCCTTTATCGTGTTATATTTTTCGACTGTATCGTCCGTATGACATGAGATACGATGCTACCTGCAAGCGCACCTGCACTTGTCCCCAGCGCCGGACGGACGGAATAATATCGGTCGCATCGGGAAGCCGGAGACCACGCCCAACTTCTTCGAATTCTCCAAAGATATTCACTCAGTGACAATTTCTCAAATCGCTTCCAGCGAGATCTTCGGGGCCTGATTATGTGTAACGTTTGCGGCACGTCCGCAACAAATAGGAGCAGCTAACGATCGCCGTTATTCGCGCCAAACCCTCAAATATGTATGAGATGATAAATATTTGTTAAGTGCAACCGATACACTGACGATCTATCGATATTCCTCGAGCGTTATTCAAGTCTGATCGTACGGTAATCCAACCAAGCCGAGCAACAAAGCAATTCTCTTTCATGAATTCCAATATTCGATTATACTTATCGGATCAGCTCGAATATACTTATCGGATTTAACGGTTATTTTGAAGATTTCGGAATGTTTTTCCATGCAAAAAATCAAAGATCAAATGTACGTCGATCGTGTAATTATTGATCGTTGACTTTTATTATTTCTGCCATCGCAACTTGACTGAATAGCCTCGAGGTATTGATAGAATTGCTCCGCCGTCATTTAGAAAGTAATAACATATCAACGTTAAACGCGACGCTATACATAATATGACAAACCTGATTCGCCAATACGGCGTGAGGCTTTCACTCCTGCCAGGTATAAAAGGTTCTCGTGTATTTATAACGTAGACAGTACACACACACACAACACATACAGTAACTTTTTTTGAAAAAAAAAAAGAAATTCTGCAAATGCTATCTGATTAATGCCGCCGTTCTACAAACGGTATCATTTCTCTCGCGCGAGCATTATCACTTTTCGCTCAATGTTCAACTTCCCGTAGTTCTCTCGACGTTAGATCGTAATATCGCAAGAGTCTCGCATTCATCCAAGCCGATAACGCGTTTGCTTCCACGCGTACATATGCGCGTATCATTTATTTCTACGACCAAACAAATACCTGTGACCATTATCGCGCCAATTTAACTACTTTCGGAGCCACGAGAGTAGATGTGGCAGAAGTTGCATCTACAACGTCTCGCGTCGTCCCGCGGTGTAATAATAAATCATTACGCGTTTTACGGATTATCGGATGGGGACTGACCGCTTATGTGACGAGCGCGAGATAGTGCCTTATCACTGGCAGCATGCGTTTGCACTCAGCAATAGCGAACAGTCCTCCAACTTTATGGGATCCATCTCTCTCGCTACTCTGTCCCTTCTTCTCTCTCTTTCTTTTTCTCCGACTCTGTCACGTATTCCGTATTCTTTCCTTCTTCCTCCCCGACTTCTTTCGCATTTTCCATCGTCTCTCTGTCCCTGAACGATCCAGCTACTGCTAGCACGCGTGATTACGCGAACACGCGCCACCGAGTCCGCGTTTGTCCGCGAAAAGCGCAGGGGCAATGTCAGATCGTTGGATAGTCGGCGAACTGGATTCGAGATCCGGTTGGCCCTCACCGGTGCTCCGAGCAACATTGTACAGGATTTTAATGAAGATTGACTGTTTTGATAAAGATAATGATGTAGGTAATAACAACGTCGGTGCACAGGTGCGGCGCCGGAGATGCGTCGATATGGATCGGTATCGCGTGCAAACGTAACGGACGCGGTCATACCATGTCATAACTCTGGGGGAGAGAGAGAGGGAGGACAAGGAGAGCGCGTGTAATGAAATCCCGTAACCGAAAGACCGAGCAATAACATTTAGCTAGGAGCAATAACATTTATGAATGACGGCAAGAAGCCAAAGTACCGTAGCGCACCAGCGTGGCGGAGGTGAGGGAACGACACGTTTCAATCGCCAATTGGTACACACTGAATGGCGATTGTTTTGCCGAGGATAACTACTGCATCGTGAAATGCACGCAGCAACTATAAATTAATATGCCCGCTATAATGCCGTGACGCGAATTCAATAGAATATTGTTCTTACGTGTTTGCGAAATGAAACTAGCAGTAGAAAAGATAATTATTTGAGCAGCGACAGACGCCATCGTTAGATCCTTGCTGGTAATTTTACTCGTCATAGCATGAAATTGCCTATTAATAAGATAAGTATCTCCCCCATGCAAGACTTACACAAATTTGTGCGCAATGCTTATTTCAGAAGATTACTTTGCAGATATACATCGTGACATTTTGTGCAATATAATAACGAAACGAATACTAAGCGGATAAATATGTAAATTGATAGGAGTCAATAATGTTCAAAGTTGGAATATTTAGTTTTTTTACGTACGGAAAGAGGTACAGATGGTTAGCATATCTGTACATTTAAAGGCAGAGCAGACTAACTACTATTATTAAATGTGCAGTTGATGATAAGGGAGAAAGTAGTCTATCGAAGAGCAACCGGTTAATTTGCAATGTGGATTAACTCATTAGGTTGCAATCAGAGGTCGTCGATACATTGATGTGAATAGACAGGCATTTATTCAATAAATCGTTTAACAGCACGAATTAAATATTGCATTTCGGCCATTAATTAGCTTTAAATTGTGACGTATTTCTTTATTAACACTTTAATGGCCGCACGTCTACGCAGTCAAACGTCGCCAGGGGCAATATTTTTGAAGAATTAACTTAAAAAGACTTTATTAAAATTCACGAAATAATTCTTGTTTACATTCATAAATCATCACACAGAGAGTGTGGTACTGGCCAATAATCTTCGGCGGTAACATCACACACATGTTGTGTGAGCGGCCATTAAAGTGTTAATCACTGTAACAAGTATGCCAATCATCAAGACATGAGCGCCCATTATCATGACTTTCATTATTTCAATACGATATTTTATTTTGAGTAAGATATATCTTATTTTTCCAATATAATTATATATTCATGTAACGTAGAATCTCGATTAATCTTTATAAAAAAGAAACAAAACGAATTTCGTGTTGAAACAAGTGTCAAAATATTGTTACTTCCCAAAATAAATCTCTATGATTAG